TTTCTGCGACCTGCGCAGAACATCACGGAAACTGTGTCTTTGTGTGTGTGTGTGGGTACATGCATGTAATTTGGTGTGGGCCAATGCCGGTACGTCCCGTCTGCTCCCGGCCTGCTGGTTGATGGACTCAATAAGACCATGCACCTCGTCCTCCGCACGCTGCTTGTGCTCCTGAGAGCCAAGGCAAACGAGGTGTGCAAAGCTTTTGGCCCCCAAGGGCCCAAAAGGCTGCCCGTGGCTCCCTTCCTGCAATGACTCGTCGTACGCTCCGATGAACTTGAAGAAGTCGTAAAGGCTCGGGAGCCTATAGGCGTGAAAAGAGAATCAACACAACGACTTTATGTAGGGGCTGACCAGGGATGAAAACCATCAAATACAGGCCCAGACCCTCCAGCCAGCCCCCCCCCCCCAAAAAAAAAACACTTTCATCCTGTGCGAGCAACCCGATAATCGAACCCCCCCCAACACACTCTTCTTCTGAAAAGTTGGGCGTGTGGTGATTGAGTTGAATTTGAGAAGCCTAGGGAGAGGATTCCCTTTCCCCCGCCCCCCATAAGAGAGCGCGGGGAGAGTGAGAGCAGGAGAGCGAGGCCGGTGTGAGAGTCAATTCACTGACTGACTCAACTAACTCCATACTCAGTTACTCTCCCTAACTTTCTACTCTCGCAATGTCCAAGTCTCGTTTGGCCATCTATTCTCCAAGGAAATGCAGTTGCAACTAAGAATGAAAGGAAAAACATTCACCAGCGAGCTCTTCCAAGACCACAGCCACCAAGGCCAACCAAGGCCAGCCAAGGCTGGTGCAGTAGAATTGCCGACACCAGCCTCGAGCCAGGGCATACAGGTAGGCTACTCCTACCCGCTTATGCCGCTTATGCCTCCTGTACCTCGCATCTAAAACGGCCAGGCCACTGCCCGATGCAGAAGGGGGTGTGGCAGTGCTCCTGCACAGCGGGCAGAAAAGTCTCTCTCTCTCTCTCTCTCTTTATCTTTCTCCCTCTCTGTCTGTCTCTCTTTCTTCTTCTTCTTCTTCTTCTTCTTCTTCTTCTTCTTCTTCTTCTTCTTCTTCTTCTTCTTCCTCTTCTTATGATTATTCTTCTTCTTCTTCTGCTTATTCTTCCTCTTCTGCTTCTTCTTCTTCTTCTATTCTCTCTCTCTCTCTCTCTATCTTTCTCCCTCTCTTCTTCTTCTGCTGGGCATGAGGAGCCCCGAAGGATCTTCTTGTTCTTCTTCTTCTTCTGCGCACTCTCTCTCTCTCTTTCTCTCTTTCTCTCTTTCATCCTTCTTTCTCTCTCTTTCTCTCTCTTTCTCTCTCTTTCTCTCTCTTTCTCTCTCTTTCGCTCTCTTTCTCTCTCTTTCTCTCTCTTTCTCTATCTCTCTCTCTCTCTCTCTCTCACTCTGTCTCTCTCTCTCTCTCTCGCTCTCTCCCTCTCGCTGACTATTCGCTCGCGCCAGCTCTCTGAACTTCTTGCGCCAACATTGGCTCTTTGAGCTTGACCAAATAGCTCGCGCCAATTGACCAAGTAGCTCGCGCCAATTGACCAAATAGCTCGCGCCAAAACGGTTCTTTGAACTTGACCAAATAGCTCGCGCCAAAACGGCTCTTCGAATTTGACCAAACAGATCGCGCCAAAGCAGCTCTTTGAACTTGACCGAATAGCTTGCGCCAAAGCAGCTTTTTGAAGTTGACCTTGACCAAATAGCTCGCTCCAAAACGGCTCCTTAAACAAAAGAGCTGCTTTGGCGCGAGCTATTGGGTCAAGTTCAAAGAACTGCGTTGGTGTGAGCTATTTGGTCAAACTCAAACAGCCATTCTGGCGCGAGCTATTTGGCAAAGTTCAAAGAGCTTCTTTGGCGCGAGCTCCTTGGTCAAGATCAAAGAGCTGCTTTGGCGCAAGCTCTTCGGTCAAGTTCACAGAGCTGCTTGGGCGCGAGCTACTTGGTCAAGTTCAAAGAGCCGTTGTGGCACGAGCTATGTGGTCAAGTTCCAAGAGCCGTTTTGGCGCGAGCCGTTTGGTCAAGTTCAGAGAGCTGCTTTGGCGCGAGCTGTTTGGTCAAGTTCAAACAGCTACTTTGGCGCCAGGTATTTGGTCACGCGATGTCACGCGCCAGATGATTAGAACCTTTTCGCAGGCGAAGCAGAGTTGATGCTTCGCCTGCGACCAAACGGCTCGCGCCGGATGTTTGGGGCGTTTTTTGACACGGTGTTTTCGGACAAAACGAGGGTGGTTGAAGTAAATTGAGATGTGTATCCCTTGGGGGTTCCAAAACCCTCTGTTAAGGGGAGTAGTAAAGATCGCAATTTACTTTCACCACCCTCTTTGGGGGCGCCTTGAGCAAGTCAAGGGTTTTTCCAACTTTGCTTAAAGCTGTTTTGGCGCGAGCTGTTTGTCAAGTTCAAAGAGCTGCTTTGGTGCGAGCCAACAGTATTTGGTCAAGTTCAAAGAGCTGCAAAAAAACTCGCACCAAAACGGCTCTTTGAACTTGACCAAATAGCCCACCAAGTCTCTCAAAGATTATGAATCAACAAACTTGTCGTTCTTTACAATACCGGGCTGCACTCTGGGCTGCACTCCTGGAGGGCGATCTCCACGATCTGAAGGGGCAGGCACGCTGAAGAGATGAGAAGTGCCCCCTCCAATTTTACACTAAAATGCAAGAGGTGTGCCCATTTGAGCCTGCAGCACTACGAAGATCACGGAGGCGAGGACACCGAGGATCAGGACAAGGTGAAGCCAGTCCTCTGAGATTCAAGGTGCAGCCAACATAGACTGTTCAGCCGCAAAGCGCTCTCTGAAAGTCTGGCAGGAGCCACGTTGCGCTCCACTCCATTCCATTCTATGGGCACATGCATGTGCGTTCCGTTAACCTTTCCTTGGCGCTACGCCAGCTGCTGGGCAGGCACGGGCAGCAGAGCCCGATGTTACCTCAGTCACGACTTCAGCCGACCCACGCAAACGAAACGAAAAACAAACATTGGGAGAGCGGAACCAGTACGCAACTACAGCCCCTTCCTCTCCCTCCGAGCGAGCGACAGGGGAAGACCCGGGAGTGGCACCTCGTGCGCAGTCCCAAAACGGGCGAAGCCTTCCTCCTCCTCCTCTCCTCTTCCTCTCCTTTTCTGGTGCATCTTAGATCTCCCTCTTGCATCTCTCTCCCTCTCTCCTCCTTTTATCCCCCCGCCTGGCGCAGCAAGCGCCTCCTTGGCAGCGGCATCCTTCCGGCTGTCCTCTCACGAGAGCCAGGGACGCAGGCATAGCAGCACCGAAAGACAAAGAGAGACGAGAAAAGACTTTCCAACAAGAAGAGACCGAGGCACACAGGACAGCATCGAGAGAGAGAGAGAGAAAAAGAGAGAGAGAGAGAGAGCAAATAAGAATCAAGAGAGAAGAGCAGAAGCACAACTCTTTCCTCAAAATTGAGAATCTCCACAACATTACGAATCAATTTTGACTCCACGCTCACAACGAGAGAGAGAGAGGGGGGCAGCCCCTCCAAGCCTGCAGAAAACAGAAAACGCTGCAAGGGTGACTCTGCAAGGGTGTCTCGGGGGCGCAGCCCCTCCCCGGTTGTTTCATTGAAGGCTCCTTCCTGCCTCAGGAAATGATGCGGATCACCACGTTCACACATTTTTCGGGCTTTCACAAGCTCACATCTGTGAGTACCTTTATGTTAGTAGTGCATTGCCATTATAAAAGTAGATTAGTGAGTGAATCGTGAGAGGACGCATGATTCAATTCTAAAAGTGAATGGCAACAATCCGTTAATGATGCATTACTTTCATGTCGCTCATTTAGGTCGCTCACGAGTTTTCATGCAATGATGTGTTCCCTCAGCGTAATCAGAACACTGAACATTGCAATGTATGAAGAGTGAATTCATTAAACTAAAAGAGCTTGAAAGAGCCTCACTATTTTTAACCGAACTAAAATGCCCATTCAAGCCCAAGGATAAATCAGAACTAGAAAAACGAACAGAGCAATCGTGGTGGTGCTGAGGTAATTGCAAAGGACCATATAAAGCGCAAGTGTTCAAAAAACTCAATGCTCGTAGTAATCCCCTCCTCATGACAGCCAGACCCTCTGCCCTCTGCCATGTATATATATATATATATGCGGACCCCCCTTCTCGTGATGCCGACCCCTTCTCGTTCTCGCTGATGATCAAACCTCTTCTCACGACGAATCGTAAGCAACGAATAACGTACACCGAAACCCTGCGCCGTGCCCTGAACATAATGTACGTCGCTCAACTTTGGCATCGCTCACAAGACCCACCGAAGTCCGCAAGCGGCACAAAATGCGGCACAAAATGTGGCGCAAGCAGCACACGTATGGCACATGCCCCGGCGCTCCCCGCCCCCTCCCCCCACACACATCGAAACTGTGAAGTTGCTGATTCGCCATGAGCAAAGGTCCGAAGGACGAGGTCGACAAGGATGTTTGCAGTGCAGCTCGTGAGCTCCCTGGGCGACGAAGCTGCAAGATGAACCCAGAAATATAGCATTCATGGCACAGAGATAGTGTTTTCAAGCAAGACACCGCTAGGCCCTTAAGGCCCCAAAGGCCCCAAAACCCCACACCCTCAAGCCAGGTGAAGCTTCCAGAAACTCACAAACAGGCACCAGAGCCAACCTCACCGGTGCTCTGAAGGATCGTCGAGCCCTGCAGCGCCTAATGATCCCAATGAGCACCTCCCCGCGCATTAATCGTACGAGGCACCGAGCTCGGCCATAAGGCTCCACTCGAATGGACGCCACCCCCTTCTTCGTTTCAATTATCCCATTTGAGCCGGAGATTTGCGGGAATTTCAACGGGGCCAAAAGTGATCAGAACGTGACATGCAAACCATGCAAACCCCAGGCACACTGCAGAGCACCGAAAAGGAACAAAAAGAAAAAAAGGTCTGTCTTTTCACTGCTTTTGCTCGCCGTTTCGCTTCAGGAAACATCAGGAAACCCCTTTCTGAATTTTGTGCCTAAGACCGAACAGTTTCTCCGGTCAGTCATGGCGGAACCAAAGTGTTCCCCGCGCTGCCTTAGAAGTCCAAAAGAGACGTTTTAAAGCCGCTCCTGCAAGTGTCAAAGCCGGCAACATGTGGAAAACGGAAAAAAAAAACCTCAGGCGCCAGCACTGTAGCGTAGGGGCATCTGGGTCATCAGGTCCTCAATTTCTCAGAGCTTCGTGACTTCGTGTGCTCTGTGCGGAACCTCACTTTATACTGGCCTGGCCCAGCAGGGCAACGGGCCCATCGAAGTCCCCGATGGTGTCTTGTGGCTGCGAGAGCAGCTCCTATCGGTAAATGGACGCTAAAAAGAAAAAACACACACGCACACACACAGATTGACTGACGGCCTGACACAAACACACATGACAAAACACAAACACACGCCGCGGACAGAAACCTACCCACCCAGGCAGGCAAGCGCCACACACTCTCACATGCGCACGCTGCTCGTGTGTGTGTGTGAGAGTGTGTGTGAGAGTGTGTCTGTGTGTGTGTGTGAGTGTGTGTGAGAGTGTGTGAGAGTGTGTGTGTGTGTGTGAGAGTGTGTGAGAGTGTGTGTGTGTGTGTGTGAGTGTGTGTGTGTGTGAGAGTGTGTGTGGTGCGTTGCACAACTCTGGCTGCTCCTGGAACAGGCCGATGTCGCCAATGCCAACATCCACTGCCGTTGGGAACGTGGCAATGGGTCCCTTGATCCGTGCGCCTGCCATGGAACTTGGGGGCGATTGTCACAATTCTGGACTCTGTGCATGCCCTGTGCCCTGGCCTAGCTTCCCAGAGAGGAATCGGGAGAAAGTTAAGCGCGCCTGTGTTGCGAAAACGCCAGGAGCGCTGCCCGTCCACTGGATTGGCGCCGCCGCCTCTTGCAGGCCGTGAGTACTGTGGCTGACGATCGGCCGGAGCGTGAGCTCTGACGAGCCCTTCGTACGGCTGAGCGCAGCCAGTTGCATATCCTCTGAATTATTCATTTCTCTGAGTTCCTCTCTTGTTTTCTCCCTCTTCTCTCCTTCAGCTTCGCTGTCTCTCTCTCTCTCTTTCGCGGGTTCCCCTCGGTCCCGCGCCTGGTTGATGAGGCGTGATGGTCACGTGCCTCGTTGTTTGAGCACAGGAAGAGAGAAAGAGAGAAAGAGAGAGAGAGAGAGAGAGACAGAGGGAGACAGAGAGAGCGAGAGAGGGCGAGAAAGAGAGAGAGAGAGAGAGACAGAGCGCGAGAGCGAGAGAGAGAGGGAGAGAAACAAAAAAAAGACAGAGAGAAAGACAGAGATATAGAGCCGGAGGGAGGGAATGACAGAGCGTCAGTGCGAGCGAAGAAAGCGAGAAGAAAAAAGTTCCGCTGAGCGAGAGCTCTGAGAGCTCGGAGTGCAAGCTTCTCTCGCAGGCTGGTCTAGTGCTCGGTGGCGGGCCGTGCGCTGGACAAAGTGATGTTGGCCAAGCTGAGCAAGGGCATCTCAAGCCTCAACTCAATTGCACTGAGACGCTGAGAGGCTGAGAGGCTGAGAGGCTGAGAGGCTGAGAGGCTGAGGGCCCAGTCCGCAGAGACTCTGACAGTGTTCACAACATCCCCCATCCCCACCCCATATGAGGGCCGTGCACTGAATTATCCAACCCGATCCCTCGTACTTTCCTGGCGCCAAGAGCTGCGTTGCGCCGTGCTGGGCAGTGCTGCATGTCCAGGTCAAGGCAAGACCATATGCATTCTCACGACGTCTCCCACCTCTCTGCATCCAAATCCACCTGAGTCGGAGGTTGGCCGGAGGCTGGGTCGGAGACTCGCATCCATGACACGGCGAACACATGCAGTTTTCTCCGAGCTTCTCTGACCATCTGTGGCGGTGGGGACATGCGACTCACTGCGTCGGCTCGTTGCACTGCCAAAGAAGGCGCAACATGGATGGAGAGTCATCGGAGTCCGGGAGATCTGAGCGGTCGGAGCTTGCCCAAGCTGAGGCCAGGCGAAACGGCAGGCGCCTCTCTTTTTCGGCAGAATACGGCGGGATCGCCACATGTTATAACATGCTTGGAGCATATAAGTTGAAAACAGCTTGAAAGCAGCGTGTAATATGTAATGACGCTCTTCACTTCGAGATGCCTGCCGAGGGCTCTTCGTTTGGGCCTGCAACAGGCTTGAAAAATGAATTGGCTGTCCAATGCTGTCCAGCTTTCTTTGCGACCCTTTTTGCTGCTTTCGGTTTCGCAACCTGGGCGAAGGCGAAGACAGCAACGGCTCCAGGGGGCAGCGGTGCTCGAAGCTCGTGCACCTGAGAAGCTTCTTTGCTTTCGAAGGCTAGAACTCAACACCAACACTTTCCTGAAGCAGTTGAAGCAAACGGCAACTGCAGGTATGATATGGACGATATGGATCCATATCGTCCATGGATGATCTGGATTGGGATGGTTCCGATATTTTCTTTGCACTTTCTTTGCTGGATACTGGGCCAATTTCACTTCAGGAACTCTCTGCGGGGCACGGGGTCCCAGCCTTGGGCTCGCGGAATCAAAAGTAGATGCAAGAGAAGGCAATGGAAAGCCCTGAGGACAGAGCCGGTGAGGGCAGACGCGAGCTGGCCCATCCCAGAACCTCGAATGCAAAGCAGTTCTGAACAACACAAAGAGACGAGGAAGAGAGAGAGAGAGAGAGGCAGAGATAGAGAGGGAGCACATGCTTCGCGCAAGTTTCATAGCACTCTATTTCCATTTCTTTATTTTTTCTTTCATTCATTCAGATGGAAGGGAGGGGAAATTGTTGGGAGGAATTGAGCGGCTCCAGCACCAGCGCCCGGCGACAGCCGCGGGTGACGGGAGAGACCATGTGGTACTTGTGGGCCTCTTCTCACAAAACTCCCCCTTGGTAATCAAACTCCAAACCAAAGCTCTTCAGAACTTCCTACACTTCTGAGGAGGTGCTCGCTCTCTTGCCTGAAAGACCAGGACCTCGAGAAGCCCGAAAGGGTGCTCCTGCAAAAAGAAGTGGGAATTTTCTGAGGCTTTGCAGAAGAGTCGCGAACTGTTAGCAAGAACAGAGGGAAGCGAGAAGAAATGGTGAACAAAGAAAGGCTCCTGCAGCCGTCCGTCCGCCTGCAAGGTGCGCAGCTCGCCCCCCTCGAAGTCCCGCTCGGGCTCCTCAAAGGCAGAAGCAAGAAGTTGGAAGGAACCTGACAGAGCCAGGGGGGGACGAAGGAAAGTACAAAAACAAACAAGAAGAGGGACGCGGCCGCTTATTGGCTTCCGAGTGTCAGCTACACGGACACGGACATACTCGTGAATTTTTCGGCCCTGCAATTCTCAAACCGAGATGAGAAGGAGGCTTTGAGCCACAGGGCCAAGGCGGCCAAGGGCCCGCGAGACAATTCGCCTCGGTTTGCGAGAAGCGTTTGGAACAAGCAGACACGGATCCGGTCTCCTTCCCCTTCCCCCCCGTGCCAAATTTTGTGACGCACCGGAGGAGCCTGCCGGCAGCTCCCAAAAAGGGGGCGCTCCAAAATGCGCGAATGTGGGTTTCTTTTTTTGCATTCTCCTGGGACCCTGGGCGGGACCCCCCTAAACCCCGCCTGGCATTTCTAGGGCCCTTCCCTGGAACCCCCCTCCCTTTTTGTTGAGGCCCTCTTTCCTCCGTTCTTGTGGGCCGGCCCGGCTGCCGAGGCGGCGCGCGCAAGCGTTTACAACCAAAATAAGAACCGTCAGTCTACAAAATTAATGTGCGCGCAAAGCAGCTTTTTGTTGTTGAAGAGCTGTTTAAAAGTGTAAACAGAGAGTTTTCTTTTCGCGGGTCAAAAACTGTTTAAGGAGAAGCCCAGGCTCGGTGCAGAGGACGTCCACGGTCACGAGGCTGTCCATGTCGTAGTGCCGGGGATCCGGGATCCCAGGTCCGGGCGCCGCCTTTTTGAAAAGAGGGTATTTTTTGAGTGGGCTTTTAAGCAAGCTTCTTTCAAGTTTCTTCTTTTTCTAATGGGCATCCTCAGGATCCGAGAGAGACACACGGCACCAATCACGCATCCAAAGCGATGCCAACCCAAAGAAGGAGTGTCATAACACAAGAGGGCAATCCTTATAAAGGAACTTTAGACTCTCCCCCAACATCCCCCAACTCTCTGAGCACGCGCCTGCACGTGCCACTCCACCACGCGTGCCTCTGGGACTACGAAGACGTAGAGTGACACTGGTGTGTGACTTGCTCAAGCCCATACCGTCCTCCAACCCAGAAAGTTCTTGGGTCGCGCTTTCGGGATGGCGATGATCGAAGCGAAATCATGCGAGTGTTTCTGGGCATCACAAAACTCGCGGTTCCAGCGCAACTAGCTGTCCCTTTAAGGTTTATCTTCACTTTCTTGAGAAAGGGCCACGAAAGCTAGGGGTTGACAGTGCTGGCAACAAGCCGGAAAATGACACGAAAGCTCCGTTGGACACGGAAACTTGAACCGCACACCAGAAAGCTCTAGCGTGTAGGGTTCAGGGTCTCGGGCCAAAAGCCTAAACCCGACAAGCAACGCAAGACTTGCTCTTGATGGTGTGCTTAGCACGGAAGCGCAGACCAAGCAATGCGAGACAGGCTCCTGACTCTGCAACGAAACCATGTGAGCTGCGCAATCTCGCAACAAAAGCGGTGACAAGTCTAAGTCTCTCTCTTCCTTTTCTTCCTCTTCCTTCTTCTCTCTTCCTCCTCCTCTTCTCTTCTCCTCCCGGCCTGGAGCCGCTCCGCCTGCTTCCGCGACAGCCAGCGCTCCCGCAAGCCCACGCGCCTTCGCGCGCGAGAACAGAGCGCATTGCTTTTGCACTCTCTGAACTCTCCCTCCCTTCATTTTCCTTCCTCTCTTCTTCTCTTCTTCTCTTCTCTCTTTCTTTTCCTCTTCCTCTCTTTTTGTGACGAAAGGGAGGGGACTGACAGGCTCCCCGCCCGTGCCTGGCGATCTGGGTCAGCTTCTCCTGGCTAAAAAGAGAGAGAAGGCTCCCTGCTTGCCGTTCTCTGCTCCCTCCCTCAGCTCCCTCTTCCTGCTTCCTCTCTCGCTCCCTCTCCTTTCTTTACCGCTCTCTGAGAAGTTAACTGTTCTCTGATATGAGTGCACTCTCTCAGCATCGCTTTTCCCAAGCGGGTCGGCGTGGCCAACAGCTCTGGCGCATGCTGCGCAAAGAACCCGCCCGTCTGGAGGAATGTCACCTTCACTTGCCGAGCACAACTCAGGACTGTTCCAGCTGTCCCCCCCCCACAAAAAAAGGGGGCAGCCTCAAAAAGACCACGAAGGCAATACCTGATTACTTTTTCACGAGAAGGTGCCCCTTAAGTGGATCAGCCATTGAGAACCGATTTGATGCAAAAACTCCCCAGCGCTAAGGCTTATCATGGCTTGACTCTCAACACCAAGCAAAAATAAGGTGGCTATAGCTGCTAGCCGCTGGCCTTCACGATGTGAGCATTTCACGAAGTTTTGAGTTTTTCAGGATTTGACAACTTGAACCAGCCAAGCTCAAGGATTTGAATTGACGTCCTCTGCGTTTGACTGCTGATGTATCACGCTACACTCCGCAAAGGGGAGGACACTGCTAGTACACAACAGTAAACACAAAGTCCACTTAATTACTGCTTGTGGCCTGCGCACTGCTCTTTCCTGAGCTTTGTTGAGAGTTTTCGGAGCTTGGCGCCTGCCAGGCCGTGGAGGGCGGCGGTGACCGCACCACGCGGCCGCAGCGGCCGTGGCCGCAGCCATCCGTGCGGCCATCCGCGCGACCATCCGAGTGATCCGGGCCATCCGCCGAGAGTGCCAGCGAGGCTAATTCTTCCAACTTTCGCAGCTCCTCCGAACACAAGAAGCCGGCCCTCTCGACCTGCATGTGTTGCATGTCTCTGAGAGACACGAATCTCAGAGCAGTATCATCTAAAAAGAACACCAGCTACGCTTCTCCCCGTATGCTCTCTCCTCAGTGTGTAATACGTGTAATAAACCACTTCCCTCAGCTTCGCCGTGCGGCCTCTCTCTTTTGAGATTTGTGTATGCTCGCTCTCCTTCTGCTTCTTCCTCATGCCCGGCGTGGGCTTGTTAGATTTTTAAACTCAACTCTGCTCCTCGCCTGGAACTCTGCTCCTCGCCCGGTCTACTCCTTGGTCATCCATGGAGTGCCCAACCTCAAAGTGTCCCTGTCTCCCTGGAGTGCCCAACCCAGAGTCTCCCTGCTGTGTTCAACCAGAGTCTCCCTAGAGTGCCCAAGCCACTCTCTCGCTGGTGTGTTCAACCCAGAGTGTCCCTGGAGTGCGCAACCCCACAGTCTCCCTGCAGTGCCCAACCCCAGAGTCTCCCTGAAATGCCCGGAGTGCCCAACCCCAGAGTCTCGTGCCCAATCCCAGAGTGTCCCGGAGTGCCCAGCCCCAGAGTGTATCCCCGGGACGAACGCCCCCTCCATGTCAATGTCGAGTCTGAGTTGGGCCGCGGTAGAATGCACGTGGTGAAGCGTCTCTGAGGCCGGGGTGTTTTCATCCCATCCTCCCATAATGAGCGCCGGTTGCCTGCGATCGTCATCTGAGGAGGAGGATTCCCCTCTGGTCGATAGAGTGCCTGTGTTGAGTTGCCCGAACTTGCCTTCAAGGAGGGTGAGGCGTTCCAGTAGTGCTCGTTGTTCCTCGGCCACGGCGTCCGCGTTGGTCTGTTGCCGTTGTTGGACTTGATCTATACGGTGGAGGGCTTGCACTTGGGCCGTGTGCAGGGTCTGGAGCTCATGCAGAATCTGGCTGGTGTCCCCCAGCTGATCTCTGAACTTGAGAAGGGGCTACGAAAGCTAGTCACCACAGGGGGGTGGCATGCAGCGAGTCGGCAGGACTTGGAGCCGCCGGCGCAGCTTTTTCCGTATTTCAGGCACATGCCTCAACCGGTTAGTCAGGTAAGATCGAAGACCCCTAAATTCGAAATCTGAAGCCCTAAACTCCTTCAGCCCCCTTGCTGCCCCCGCTGGAACCCCGTGTCGCAAACGAAGTTTAGGTACAGGGACGCTCTGTTCAGTACGACCTCTGCAAAGTACCACAGACCTTCAGAGCATGGTGACTGTGGGGGGCGGGGGAGGACCTTGGGGGGGGGTGGGGGGGGACCTTGTGGGGGGGGGGGACCTGAAGGTGGTAGGGGGGGGGCGCTCCCTTATCCCACGCGCAACCACCTTAAAGGAGGGGGGGGCGCACACGTTATCCCCCCTTATCCTTCGAAATGCTTCATGTGAGGTGATGGGGGGGGGGGGGCCCCCCCCCCAACCCCCACCTTAAGTCTTGGGTTTCGGACCTGTTAAGGTGTGGAACCCTTTTTTTCCCTGGAAGCTTCTTAACAAGGTGAATACCAGTGCATGGGTAAACGACAACTCCCGCCAGCTCCACAGAGCTAGCTTTCGTGACTATGCCCGCACCTCCCCTAGCAGCTCCAATTTGAGCTCTCTTCTCTCCGACCTCAGCTCTTCCTTGATTGCCGTGCGAATGGACTCCAGAGTGAGCCCTTCTTTTTCCATCTTTGAGGTACTCCCTGGCGAGGTGGTTGGAGAAGAGAAACCCCCCTTCCCCGTCGAGGTCTCGTAGGCCGCTGATATTATTCAGGTAGTTGTAGAAAAACTCCCCCTCCAGCTGCGGTTCACGTCCTGGACCGAACCCCCCCTCACCGAAGTACAGGGCCCCCTGCAGAAAGTCGCGTAGTTTGTCAAAGAGGTAGATGTTGTCGCACGGGCGGCAAAGGCCGGGGGGGGCAGGCTCCCCTCTCTCTCAGCTCAGGCTACAGCCGGCAGCCCCCCCAACTCTCACACTGGAAGCTCTCGCCTCGATTCTCTCGCCCCCTCTTTGGTTTAAGCCCACAGGACGGTGGGGCGGGGCTTGAGCACTCGTGGCTTGAGCCAAAATGGCTCTCTCTCTCCCTCTCTCTCTCTCTCTCTCTCTCTCTCTCTCTCTCTCTCTCTTGATATACTCAATAGAAAATGTTCTCCTCTCTCTCCGGCCTTGCTGAGCTGCGCGGCCGAGACGTCCGGAGCACCGCCGCGGACCCCTAACTGCTGCCCGTTCAGTTGGGGGGGGGAGTCGGGGGAATCGAAGTCCCGGGGGCCCTTCCTTTCTTGAGCATCCAAAAAAACATCTCGTCTCAAACTTGACTCAAACTTCCCTGCATCATCAGTCGGAGTGCAGTGCGTTGACTCAAACTCAGTGAGAGATTATCCAATGGCATCTGCGCGTGCAAGTGCAGAATGAACGTGCATGCCAGGGCAAAGAAAAGAAAACTCTTCCCGTCCTCCTCGGTCTAGCAGCAGGTTGAACCAGCGCTGTGGTGAGATGAAGTCCTAGTGAGTTCTCAGCAAAAAAAGAAAAAACTAAGGAAAAAAAGAAACACTAAGAACTGAGAAGGCCCCCTCATACGGCGCTGCCATAATGCGGCATGCAGTCCAAGAGTCCAGGGTTCTGGCTGCGAGGCGCGGTCGCTTCCGGAGCTGTGCTCCTTTCTCGCTGACCTCGCTGACCTCGCTGACCTTGCTGACCTCGCTCCTTGTGACGAGGAAGATGGAGCTCTCGGAGGCCTCTTCGGCCCCTTCGGCCTCACAGGCCTCGCCTTCGCTTTGGAGATCCTGGCCGTCTCCAGGGATCAGATGGAAGGGGGGGGGGGGGGCACGCCATGGCGCTGTGTGGCTGTGTGATGAACCTTCTCCTAGCTGATTTCTTCGACGGGAATTATACGCCAATTATACACACCTCTAAACAGGCCCGACAGCTGATTCAAAAATCAATGAGGCTCCTGCAGCTCCACAACCGTGAAGCCGGCAAAGGTCTCACACAAGGCGCGTTTGTCGTCCCGCGACGCCTCACATGTGTCCCCTGTGTTCTTGAGACTTAGAGCATCCTGAATGGCTTTAAGTTGCATCTGCATTCAACTTTGATTCAACCCTGATCCTCCGAGGCACCTCGATGAGAAGCACCGGACCTTGTCGACCGCTGCACAGCTGTCTCAAGGGCTCCCAAGCCGCGCATGTTGCTCGCAGTGCCACCACCGCGGCGTAGTTGGGCGGCTGCCCCAACTCCAGGCCATCCGCGTCGTCCGCATCGACATCGGAGGCATCTCGCTGCGCAAGCACGCGAGCGCGCGCCCCGGCGCGAGGCCCAGCGAGGCGCAAGCCAAAGTGGCGCTGCACGAGCTCCAGGGCCGTGGCCTCCGGTTCCAGCACATCCACCCACACCTCCGGCAAAGGCACATTTCTTATGCCTCCTGTACTCGAAGTCCCGAGTTCCGAAAGAGAAGGGAGTCAAGAGTAAGGGAGCCTCCGGGGCGTTTAGGGCGAGGAAGGTGGCCAGAACCCCGTCGCCGACGCCGTAGACGAGGACGCTTCCAACAACTGTTTTGTCTTCATGCCCTTCCGCTTTGTCGTTCTTCCCCTCCCCTCCTTCACTATCTTCACTATCTCCCTCCCCTCTCTGCCCTCCTTCACCATCTCCTTCACCATCTCCTTCACCACTTCCCCCCTTTTGCTCCGCGGCCCGGGCCACGGCCAGCAGCGCCAGGCCCGCGGCGGTGACCTCCTCCCAGCGGTGCAGCGCCCGACCTCTCTCGGAGAAGAAACACAAACAAGGGGAGAGATGTCAATCTTCAAGAAAACAAAAGCACAGAACAAAGCTCTAGAAGAGTCTTGGAGTGTCTTGGGACTCGGAGAAGGGTTTTGTTCTGTGCTTCTCCCAATTCAAAGCTGAAAAGCCGGCTGGGCCAAAGGCCGTGTGCCAACCACCTGCTGTAGGCCGGAAACCGTACCAGGGCCCAACGTGCAGAATGCGCTGCACGCCCAGAGCGCCGCCTTCGGCTCCTTCAGTTCCGGACGCAGACCTCAGACTCAGACTTTCTGCAGGAGGCTTTGTACAAGTGACCTTCTCTGAAGTCTGAGAGATTTCTCAAGACATTCGAGAGCAGTCAGGGAAGGCGAAGAAAGAGCCTGAAACGGAAGCATGTGTGGGGAGTTGTGAGCCAGTGAGTAGTGCTCAAAGCGCTCTTGAGGCACCCGCACAACAATGTCCAGAACTGCCCGCAGGTTGGAGTGATCGCAATCAGGTGACAGCAGCAGACCCTTGCCACAGCAAGGTCGGTAGTCCACCACCTCCACGCGCACAGAGGTCCACTCGTGTGACAGCCACGGACGCAGCGTCGCCGCCAAGACCAGTCGCCAGTCCTCGCTCTCCGCGTCCTCGTCCGCTCGGTCGATCTGCGTGCTTTCCAAGGCGACCCGCGCCTGGTTCTGCAGCTGCAGGGCTAAGAGCCGCATGCTGGCCATCAGCTCCCGCGACTCTTGCGACTCTTGCGACTCTTGCGATTCTTGCGACTCATGAGGGTTGGTGCCTGAGACTCCTGACACCTGGTTTTCGAAGCCTCTGTTCGGCTTTTCTTGAAGCAGTCGCCTCAAGTGCAGGAGTCTCAAGGCGGCGCCGCGCTCCATGAGCTCAAGCAGGAACTTTGCCGGCTCTCCCTCTCCTCCCTCTCCTCCCTCTCCTCCCTTGGCTCCCTTGGCTCCCAGGGCACGCTGCCAGGCCCTCAGCTCCTCAAGAGCCTCCGCTTCAGAGAAGCCCAAGGAACCCAAAGAGCTCAAAGTAGATGTCGCCATCTCTCAGCAGCCGCTCATAAACTGAACTCATCCTCTCATCTCTCCAGTCATCGCTCTCACAGGAATAGTGAGGAAGAACGAGTGCTCGTCGAAAAGTGCGACTGTGTGTGTGTGTGTGTGTTCCAACTTGCGAGCTGTTCTGTGCTTAACTGCTTTGAGTGCTTGCTTCGTCAACCATGCCAGCATCTCTGCCGAGCAGAGCGGAGCCTCCTCATGCAGAGCCTCATGTAGAGCCTCATGCAGAGCCTCATGCAGAGCCTCATGCACAGCGCCGCATATGCGTTCTCGAAAAAGTATCTCGGCGGTTGGGAAACAAGCAAATTGTGGAAGAAAGGAAAGCAAAGCCGGCGCAAAGCCAGAGCGAAGCCAAAGCAAAGCCAGAGCAAAGCTGCAGAAGCTTCTGAGCTGCAAACACGAAGCCCCAGGACATATGCTGCCTGACGGTTTAAGACCTGGCACACGGAGGCCCTTCTTCTCTCTCTGAGTTTTCGAATCTCTTCGATGCTTCTCTCCAAGTTCTTTCCAAGATCTCTCCGAGTTCTCTCCGAGTTCTCTCCGAGTTCCCTCCGAGTTCTCAGTAGCCGTGGGGTGCTTACCGTGTGCGAGGCGCCGGTGTCCACGAGGCCCACCACCGGCTCCAAGCAGCCGGGCACCGTCAGCAGCAAGCCCTCCGGCTCTCTGAGCAGCAAAGAGAAAGAGAGAAAGAGAGAAAGAGAGAAAGAGAGAAAGAGAGAAAGAGAGAAAGAGAGAAAGAGAGAAAGAGAGAAAGAGAGAAAGAGAGAAAGAGAGAAAGAGAGAAAGAGAGAAAGAGAGAAAGAGAGAAAAGAGAGAAAGAGAGAAAGAGAGAAAGAGAGAAAGAGAGAAAGAGAGAAAGAGAGAAAGAGAGAAAGAGAGAAAGAGAGAAAGAGAGAAAGAGAGAAAGAGAGAAAGAGAGAAAGAGAGAAAGAGAGAAAGAGAGACAGAGAGAAAGAGAGACAGAGAGAAAGAGAGAAAGAGAGAAAGAGAGAAAGAGAGAAAGAGAGAAAGAGAGAAAGAGAGAAAGAGAGAAAGAGAGAAAGAGAGAAAGAGAGAAAGAGTCTCGCGCTCGAAGAGATTCGAGAAGACGTTAGAGAGCACATATTTAGATGCCTGCAGCCGCCCAGGCATGCCCAGTGCCTCAAGCTGCCTCAAGAGACAACATAGCAAAGTCGCTCGATTTGACCGATATGGATGTGTCCTTCCTCTCTCCTTTTCTCGTCTCGCTCTCTCTTCTTCTTCTTCTTCTACGGGGCATGAGGGGAGCGCGGAACCCCCCCCCCCCCCGCGCGCGAAGCGCGCCCAGACTGTCTCCAAGGTCTGTGTGACACCAACGTGTTTGACATGATGGGGCCGCGGACTCGCTCTCTCTCTCTCTCTTTCTTTTTCTTCTTTCTGTTGCTTCTTCTTCTACCCAGCGAAGAGGACCCCCAAAGGGAGGCCCCGGCCGCAGCGGCCCGCCGCTCTGTCTGTTGGTGACAGAAACCCTCAGATTGACACATTGGTCTCCAAGGGCCCCCGCTGGTTCATCTATGGTTCGAGGTTTCACTCATATCTGCATCCCCACTCAGCCCCATCTCATCTCCATCCCCACTCACCTCCTCTACATCGCTGTCGACTTGAGTTTCCCCTGCATCATCTGTCGGTGCTGTGTGAGGGTCTCCGGTGTGTCCCTCGGGAGCCAGTGTACTGTTGCTTCTTTCTTTCCTTTCTTTCTGCGCACCTGACCCCCCCCTGTTGCTTCTCTCTCTCTCTCTCGCTCCCTCTCTCTCTCTCGCTCCCTCTCTCCCTCCCTCCCTCCCTCTCTCTCTCTCTCTCTCTCTCTCTCTCTCTCTCTCTCTTTCTCTCTCTCACGTTGGATAGCAATAATTTACATTTACGGAGACGGGGCGCCGCCAGTCGCCGTCCTCGGGACGAACGGGCAGCGAGGCCCTCGGCCAGGCGCGCACACGCTCCGTCCGGGCGTCCTGTCGAGGCTCACTCTGCTCCCTGGCATCAGATTTTTGAGGCGGGCCCCCGATCCCACCAGCAGCAAGCATTCTGAAATCTCGTTAGGGATGGGAAGCGCCAGCACGTCCCGGCTGCCCCAATCATAATAATAATTCCTAAGGACGTACGAAGTGTTCACTCATTCGCCCGGCATTTAAAAAAATTAATAGTTTGCAAATGAAATACACGCCCGGGGCCCTATTTTAATAATTGCAAAGAACTAATCCGTACGCTTATTATCTTATTTTTTTAGTGATTTCTCTTTCTCACTTCTTTAATGTACTTACAAATGCTGTATTACTAGAAGCGTTCGTATCTTTCCTGGACAACACTCATTATATTGTATACTTCTTGTCTTACTATTAAATTACAGGCCATCTTTTGCACGACTCATCCAAGGCCCTCCCGACTCCACAACGACTTTTGAGAGCTGTCCATTCTGACCGATCTCTCCATTCCCTAAACCCTCTTTCTGTCCAGCTCCAAGTCGTACTGGTCCATGAAGCCTCCCAGAGAGAGAAAGAGAGAGAGAGAGAGAGGGGAAGAGAGAGAGAGAGAGAGTTCCTCTCCGAGAGTCTCTGTTTCTAGTTGCTGACAGAGAACCGGTCAGCTTTGCTGAGATTCCAACGGAACGTTGCTCTGAGCGTCGAAGGGATCAGATTGAATTTAAAGAGTTTTTGAGAGGCACAGAAATCAACCTTGAAGTACAAAGAGTTGGCGCCCAGCCTTGTCCGAGCATTCCCTGAAGCGCGATTCCCACTTCGCCAGCGATGCTCCTAGGGCGGAGTTTCAACATTGGCAAAACCAGTAAGGAGGATGGTCGCCCCAACGCCCACGATCCCGGCAAGCGTCAGCACTTTTTGGAACAACACGATGTGACAAGGTGAAAACATGGTTTTCCGCGGATGCTTGCGGATGCTTGCAAAAACGTTTGCGAGCGCTTGAGGACATATTCGAAGGCTTGCAAAGGCTTGTGGATGTCAGACACAAGGATTTTGGTCAATGCCTCAGACCCGCAACCAAATGGAACAATTCAACTATACACTCAGTATTTCAGTAGAAATTCGGGAATCAACGGACCGAAAAAGTGAACTCACATCGCCAGTTCTCATCTCACAACATGCGGTCACGGTGCAGCTGGGGGAAGTTGTCGACAACAACTCCTGGCAAGAAAAAGGCTGGAGGAAGGGAATATGTGGCAAAGTCGCGCAATCTTGGCCAGCTTATTGCTTGTCGGGCATCGCCCGCTTCGCTTGCGTTGGCATCATCGCATTCACTTGCTAGCGATGCTTGTTGCACGCACAGTGCTAAAGAGCCTTCGCGATCTCCTAGAATTCAATCTTACATTGTCTCTTTGTGTTGCATGGTGCTGTCTCGGCGATGTGTCGGTGATGTCGTGAAGCGGGTGCGGGGAATGTGGGGACTGCTGGGCATTGCACGATTTGCACGGCACTCCGCCAAGCCGCCCTGGCCTGCCATCGGGTCGAGCGGACAGCTCGTTGTGGTTTCCTGCACAGTTGGCGGCAGCAAAGGATCTCAAAGAGACCCTATTGGAATCAACTCAACCAAAAGCCTTCACTCAGTCAAGAGAAGTGTCGTGCCCAGTGACCCACGCAAGGAACCTAAGCCTCAGAGCCCCAGCTTCGAAGGCACAGAGGGAGAGTTTTGAAGGATCCAGAAGAAGGATCCTCCGGAGGGAGAAGATCCGAGACGGCCTGCATCTCGTTTACCAAAGCAGCGCCCTCGATGCGCACCTGCTCGAAAAAAGTCCCAGTTGGGATTCAACAACCCACAAATTTCAACGATTCCCAGAAGTTCGCGGGCAATCTCTCGAGAATTGAAAAAGCTCTCTCTCTCCACTTAAGTCCTGCTGCATGTCGAGGCTGGACCCGGTGGCGCCAACGCCCGTGGAAAAGGACCCCTCGCCTCTCGCTGCTCTCTTGAACAGCGAATTGCGGCCAGGCTGTTTATATCTATCTCATTGTTCGCTGATGTTCATTGTCTTAACCGTCTTAACCGTCTTTAATAGACATGTTTAACCAGCTCATTGAAAGGACGGCTTGCAACCTTTACAATTGTCTGCGCACAACGTCTTTGCACCGGTGCACCTGCCCCTGCCCCTGCCCCCCAACGCACCAACGCACCCAACACCGCTTGGCCCCTGGGGGTTGTCTGTGTGAGTTCAACGAGGTCGATGGCAATGTTCTGCGGCGTGCAACGAACCTCCCCGCTGCCCCGAAGAACCGCTGCCCAAGACCCTCGCCCCGGTAATGCATAACTTCTAATATAACAGTAGAATGACTTTGTATAGATTGGCAGGCATAGGTCCAATAGTACACCCCTCTGATTCGAGCGAATGGGTCCTGGTGGGGAGACAAAACCCGAAGCCGGGCGCCCAAGGGTCACCGTCCGTTTCCGGGAGAAGGTCTTTCCGCATTTCCGACTGTTGCCTGGGTAGTTGCTGGCACCTTGTGCTCTCCTTGCACCCCGCGGAACCAACATTGAGCCTTGTGAGAGCCAACTGTGAGAGCCAGAGGGCATCTGTAAGACCCCCTTCGCCACAAAAAGCGAAAAACATCCTTGCAGTTGGAGAGATCTCTCTTCATTCTCTCACCGCTCAGCTCTCCATCTCCCTTTTCTTTTCGTCTCCTGCTCTCCTTGTGCTCTCCTTGTGCTCTCATTGTGCTCTCCTTGTGCTCTCCTTGTGCTCTCCTTGTGCGGCTTCCTTCCCTTAACTGCTCCCTCTGCCTCCCATTGCCAGCTTCAAGTTTTTGCAAACCTGGAGAAAGAGCAGAGCAGAGCTGTCAGCATCTTCGAGAGAAGAAACCTCTGACTTCTCCCTCTTCGCATTGTTCGGGGCCCCTTGCGTCAGTGGTCAGCATCACTGCCGCGGTGAGGCCTCAATCAATCAGTCAAGCCTGAGGAAATTATTGAAAGTGAAGCTCTTATGCCCACAGAAGGCACTCACAGCGGGCACTGCACAGAAGGCACATAACTGCAGGCTCGCGCCGGAGTCCAGCAGAAGAGTCAGGTTGGTCCTCTCTTCAGCTCTTCAGAAAAGACATGCAAAACACAAAACACACGTCATTCTGACTAATTTCGCGCCACGCACGTCAAGCGCCCGACAAAAGGCCCTCGGCAGGGACACAACCATGTGTTTCAAGCGGCTTTTCTTGGCAGGCGAAGCACTTTTGCGGCTTGGGGCTATGATTGGATAGTTGCTTGCGGTGTAACTTATTGAGGAATTGAGGAATGTGTTTGGGTTTTTCCCTCGCGAAGTTTTGGGGGCATGTAGTGCGCCAAGTACGTTACGTTAAGGAAATACCATGCCTGCCAGGTTAGGCACAGGTGGCAGTTACGACTTCATAAGTGGAGAAGTGGCGGAGGTTTAAACTATTGGTTGGAAGAGAGCCGCAAAGTTTATTCTAAGAGTTTAAGCTACGTATTGGTAACCCAGGGAAGGGGGGGGGGGCTGGCGAGCCCGAGGGGGGGGGGGGGGGGGTCAAGGGTGGGGGGGGGTTGCGGGCAAGGGGAGGGGGGGGGTGGTGGGGGGCCAACTAACTAACTCAGCTGGCGTGCGTTTGGTTGTCCAGAGGGAACAAACGTTTGCGGGATGACGAACTGGCCTGGCTTGAGTTAGTGTAGTTGTCGGAAACCAAGCTTCGAAACAGTTTGTTTCGGAGAGGGAGGGAACCTAGCTAACTCCCGTGGCTCGAGCTAGTTTAGCTAGAGAAAACAAACGTTGGCGGGAAACCTTTGTTTGTGGCCAGGAGCCTAGGCATCGAAACGAACATGTTGGGGCCCGGAATCTACAGTTTTGCACTTTGCCCTCCCGCTGCTCCTATCGTAATCGTGATAGTGTTTGCAATAGCAATGTAGGACTATGAGCCCTTGCGTCTGCCCTTGACCGAGACAAACCTCTCCCAGAAACCCCGTTGTCTCAAAGTTTGTTGTGTACGTCTCAACTAACTTGCATCTGCCCCGTATTTGCATAGTGAGGGAGGTCGAATCGAAGTCTACTGCGCCGGGCAGGAAAAGTGATAGTATGCGGGTGCTGAATACCCTGCAGGCTAGGCTAAAGTCTGAAGTTGCAACAGCGTGCAAGGTCGGGTGCTGTGATACACAGTGTTCTCATCGTGCGGGCGTGGATGCTCTGGCCATTCGCACGGACTGGTAACATGGATGTTGCCCAGGTGCTTGACGCACGCGGAGCCAATTTCTTGCGCTCTTTTGAATGATGGAACACAGCACAATGGAGCGCAGCTGTCCTCGGAAACGTGTCCGGCTCGACGGCCCTGAAGGCCTCGGGCACTTTGGATTCTGAGGGAGCGAAGTAAGCGAAGACGCGGAGAGTGCGCGCCGAGGTCCTCTGAGGTCCCAGGCGTCGGCCGGAGGAACAGAAAGCATTAGCAAAAAGTAGGCGCCACCTACTGCCCCGCTGTGGACATCACAAGGCACACCGTGCACATCAGGCACATATCCACTGAAGTTTCGCACCAATGAAGCGCGTTGGCAGCTTCAACAGCTGCAGACGACCTCTCGAAAGGTTGGCAAGAAAGGTTGCAGAATCTTTGCAAACATTATCCAAAAAACAGCCAGGGCAACCTTCCAGCGTCGGCGCAGGCAGTGCAGGAGTACCCCACTCCTACATCCCGAAAAATAGCGTGGCTTTTGTGGCTTTTGCTTCAAAGAGCGTCGAGTCTCACCACTCTGCAGGCCCCGTGCGCCTGACTGGCAGGCGCCAACCGCCGAGCCACCTCTCGCGGTGTACCGCTGCTCACCGCTAAGCCGTTAAGCTTTTAAGCACCACACAACTCATCAACAGGCACACCAAAACAGACAGTAGCTAAGCAGCACCACTAGTCAGCACTGCATAACTAGCTCTACGCAAAGCTTCCCACCACGTGGCGTGCCCGGGAACTTCGCAGACTTCGGTAACTTTGGAAGCCTCGCACTCGGAATCGACTCCATTCTGACGTCATTCTTGATTTTTTGCGAAATTGTGAGAGCGCATGTTGGAGCCTTTGATCGGTTTTGGGCCTCTGCCAAGTCCGTCAACGAGAGCTCCAAAGGTGCGAGCACCTGAACATGTGGACCGCGCATGACACGAGGGCACTCAGAGCACAGTGTTTGATAGCAGTGAACAAGTACACGAAATGGGGGTCCGTTCGCTTATTCGTTCAGGAAATCCACTGTGAATGAGGCTTCTTGGAGTCTTTTGACCACGCTCTGGCACCCCCCAACAAGAAGATGCTTTTCACTTGTTGTCTATCACACAGATCTCGCTACTTTTTTTGTTTCTCTTTTTGTTCCTCTCTATCTCTATCTCTTCCTCTCCACAATTCACAGCCACTCGCGCACCTCGTTGGGCAGCCAAGTTTTCCTGAGCAACAGCAAAGAAACAGTGACAACAGTCTCCATGTTGTCATGTCATGCGCGGGACTCTCTGATGTGGGGCTTTGTCCCAAGCCCGCCTGACAGGCCAAGAACAAGCCCAACAGCAACGCCAGCCGCATCTGACGGCCTGTGATTTGTTGAGACGCAATTTCACTGAAGCAGAGGCTCAAAGAACTCGAAGAGAGGAAGGAATTTGGCAGAAAGGAAAAGAAGAAGTGATGCGCACAAACCAGGAAGTATAGGAAGTATGCCTCTTTGTTGGCTTCGGCTTTGTCTTTTCTGCCGTCCTGGCGGCCTGCTTGGGGGCCTCAGCTTCGGTCTCCGAGTTTTCGCAAGTTCGCCCTCATTTGTCCCTTCTTTTCTCGCTTAAAGTCTTATATGCAGGCCCTGTTCAATTCTTCTTCATCTCCCTTCTTCTCGTCCCCTCGTTCTTGTCCTTCTTCTTTCCTTCTTCTTTCTGGTCTCCCCAAGAAGAAAAGAAGGAAGGCTTTTGTGCTACTGCAACCTTCTGGAGCCTGGCAAGGACCGGCGAAGCTGATAACGAGCCCCACTACTGCCCCTCCTCAGCGGTAGCTCCCCTCTGCGGTTCCCCTGATTCCCCTTCTGCTGATGCGCGGCTTCGCTCTTCTTGATGCTACTGCTTTCTGCGTTCTACTTGCCGATCGGTTGTAGGTGTGGATCACGCCCCGAGCTTGAGATCCCCCCTAGTCTGTGAGCAAGTGAAGTGAAGCAGCAGAGCTTGCCAGTGGGAAGGAAATCGAAACAGCCTCATTCAGATCGAGAAAATGTTGCAATATATTGCACATAACGCGATGTACTAATTGATCCGGCGGTACAGAGGGAGAGGAGAGAGGGAGAAAGAGAGAGAGAGAGAGACAGAATGCATCATCTATACTCAGTTAAGAAAACATCGAAGCTGGATTTTCATGAACACAGAGCTGAAATTCTCTCCCTCTCGCCTTGCCAACCCTAGAGCCCTAGAGTTCCAATCCGATTTTTTTGTCCGAGCTGAAATTTCAGGCAGATTTCAGATCCGAATTGTTCGGCTCCGAAGGGTGTATGGACGAGCTGAAAATTTCGAAAATTTGAGCTCCGATGAAAAAAGAAAGCTGACATGTAGGTTAACCTGAGCTCCTGGGTATTTCGGGTCGGGAACTGTTTGAGTGTTGAGTGTTGACGTCGGAAAGGCCCTGCTGGACCGGGCACTTGAGTCTCTCAGCTCAGGTGCCACAACGTTAACTGCCCCACAACCCCTAGATCCAGGGAGTTTGTGGCAGGAGCAAGCCTGCCCAGTGCCAACAAAGGAATCCCTTTTGCAAGTGGAACATACTACGAGGGTTTTCAAATGAGCTGCTGAAGCAAGGGATGACTTTTCTCCCCCAGCATGGCCGAGACTCAGATCGAATCGATTTTCGACGGCAGGAACAATTCAAAACGATAAATCTTGCTTTTTCCGGCTCAGCCTGACCAACGACTATATTGCAAGAACCAAAAGCCAAATTTCTGCACCAATTGTTTATGCTAATACTCTCGCTCTCCCTCCCTCTCTCTCTCTCCCTCTCTCTCGCTCTCTCCTGGGGTAGGGACAGTGTTGAACAGCTCGGTGAGGGTGTTCCCGAAGTCCAAAACCTAACAGGGCACTTCGAGGCAAAAGGCACACACTCACACAGACAAAAAGACAAACGGACAAACAGACAGAGAGAGAGAGACACACACACACACACACACACGCTCTCACTGTGCAGAACTGGGCTCCCGGTCCCGGCATATCCTGAGGACAAGTCTCCCTACAAAACAACATGTGCCCCTAGAATCACTCAGAGAGAGGCACCTTTTCGAAATCGCACGTCGGCGAGACTAAGGCGCACTTTGCGTGGCTCCCTGTAAAGCGAATGCCCCTGAACCTCAGTTGGAGGTCGAGAGCTGGAACTTTGAAACAGTTGCGTCACAGGCGCACCCGCAAACGCTCCTGCAAACTACTGGCGCAGTGGGAGACGGTCATGACTCCGAATGGCTCGTCGGAAATCAGAGGAGTGTGCAGTAACGGAGGAAAAGCCTTTCGGAGCGGCGACCGGCCCATCTTAAGTCTGAGTGTTCTGATTGCCTCCTTTCTGCTCGCACTCGCCACTCTCTAGAAAATTCTAGGTCATTCTAGGTGCCTTTGCAGAGCAGCTCACGGCTTCTGCGCCGCTTTTGATAAACCAATTGACGCGCCGGGGACGCAGGGACCCTATCGGCTCACGAGCACTGAGGTCCAAGCCTCGGATGCAGAAAGGAAAAGAGAGAGAAAGAGAGGGAGAGAAACAGAGAGAGAAAAAGAGAGCGAGAGAGAGAGAGAGAGAGAGAAAAAAAAAAAAGATAGAGAGAAAAAGAGAGAGGAAGAGAGAAATAAAATAAAACAGAGAGAGAGAGAGAGGAGAAGAGGGAGACAGAGAGAGATAGGAAAAGAGCCAAAGTCGCGAGGAGAGACGTGAGGGCGAGGCAGGGACATGGAGAGAGACCGCGGTTTTGACATTCAATTCCGTGTCCTTATGCGAAACAAAAAAGCTCTCTCTAAGCCGACAGCGCATCCGACGCATCCGGCAACTTTCTCCTCTGGCGAAATGCCAAGAGTAATTCACCGCACTGTCACGGAAGAACTGCTACGTCAGGGATTCAAATCATTAGATTGACGACTCTGGCGAACATCTACTACGTCGAAGCTGCAGCGAACGTATGTCGCGAGATGTCCGCTGGGGAGGGCCTCAGAAGGTACGGTCAGCCCTTGATCCACACGCAGAACTCCGCGCCATAGCAGCCCACCTGTGCAGCGACTCATGGCCCAATGGCGATAATCTCTTTCAAACTCATAGCAAAACAACAACTTCCGTGCGATCCCCAAGAGCCCCGAATGCATGAGCGCCAGACGCGTATTCAAGCTGAGTGCATACAAGTGTCTGTGGGAGTAGTAGAGAAGATGCATGATACAAAGTCTGTTCTGGGCGAAATCTTGAATATGGGCCTGCAGTTTCAAAAGGGCGGAAAGTTACGTGAACCAGAACAATGTTCAGGCCAAGCGTGTTCGCGTGCGAGGAGGCGACCGAACGGTGCAAAATACGTTTCCGGAGGCCCGGCAAAAGCACTCGGCTTTGTCATGCTCTAGGTTTGGGCTGTAACAGTCCCAAAACAAGATTCTGGCCAAATGCGTTTCGATTGTGATGACACGGGAAGCATCAAAGAAGGAGGAAGTGTGCAAATCGGGCAAATCGGCCACAAGATGCAAAGCAAGCAATTGACGTAAGGAAGGGTCGTTCTTGGATGCGAGCGAAGTCTAAAGCACAAAAGAGACCATTAAACACTCACACATGCAGATGATCTAAAAAGGGCTCTCCATGATGCGAATGCACCTGGGATGGGGGTTCTCATGGTTTGGGCATGAAGGCTATGGTGAGCTCAGGGATGGACACGATCCTGTTCAGGCATGTGGGCCTATGCGCTGGCGGATGGTCGCTATGATAACGGGGGCTATGGTGACCCGATGCGCCCGGCATGCTCTCATGCAACGGGCAGCGAGACAGCACTCCAAGTGTCATCGGTCCAGTCACTCCAAGTGGGTCCGTCACCGTCACCATCATCCCAAATCCTACTGCTGCGACGCAGCCAGCACTCCACCACTCCAATCACTCCACCAACTTGAGAGCCACGGGCTGGGACGAAAGCTCTAGTAGGTCCAGGACTGGGGACACGGAGCTAGCAGGAAGAGACAGGCGCCGAGAGATCAAAGCGCCGACCCAATTCATGTGGCAAAGTCAAAGGTTAAAGCGAAGCGGTGCTTCAAGTGAGCCACCATGCACAAAAGTAACACAAAGTTACAGGAAGTTACACAAGTGTACCTACCGTGTATAGACAGACACGACCAAAAGCTCGGAGGTCAGACCGACGACACATACGGGTGTTGAAAGCGGTGTGTCAGATTGTAGCTATGAGGGTGGGGACCCCTGCAAGCGGGGAACAGGAGAAAACTCAACTCGCTTCGTTTATCTGGGCTACAGGGTCAAACAGGGAGGAGGACCCGGACCAACTGAAGAGGTGCTTCGAGAGTTATTGGCGACTGTCGTGCAGACCCTGCTGCGCCTTTTTTTGGCAGATTTAGGCCTGCAGCGACCCGCCAAAGCGCGCCGCCCCGCGAGCATCAGCAGCATCAGCCCGGTCCCGCTTCTCCTCGGAGAGGCATAAAAACGAGTCCACGCCGAGGACCCGAAAAATGCTCCAAAAAACCGTTTTGGGCAACCGCCCTGGGCCCCAAATTCGCCCGGGGACGCCGCGAAAATGTCAGGGTTTTTTGACCAGCCCCCCCTCCCCACACCCCCCCATGGCTCCGCCCCAGCCCTGACGGGGTATTAAACGAAAGCTCTCCAAGGGGAGCTTTCGTGATCTTCGTCGAAGTCTCCATCCTGCCAAGCATCAACGGTCCAAGCTTCAATCCGAAATGGCGTTCTTGTCCACTTGTCCACTCGCCGAAACGTGTCCTGGCTTTACAAATCCAAAAAAGAGCCAAAGCAAGCCAAAGCATACCGACGTCGAAGTTTGCCCGTACCCTTACTTTCATACTTTTGCCTTTGCCTTCTCTTGGCTGGAAACTCAACGCGTAGTCCGCGCATCCAATGTGCACACGGTTTTGGGGTCTGCTTCTAGGCCCTATAGGCTTAAAGCTTCCCGTCCAACATCAATGTCCTAGTAGGGTGAAGGGCTTGCCAGCAAACATGTTTTTGGGAGTTGGGGTCTCTGCTTTTTGGGCTTAGGGTTGCTAACCTTCAAGCCTTTTAACGTTTCAGAGATTCCCACCCAATACCTCCTTCTCGGATTCAAGGCGTTGTCACGCATGGGCGCAGGTTTCGGTTACCCCGCGTGCATCCGGACATGGTCCCCGCGTGCACCGTCGACTCAATCACTGCACGATGGACCTTCAGCGCCGGCCCTGAGAGAGGAGGCTGCACTCGTCGAAAGTATGTATGTGCCAGCACCCTTGAGTTTTTCACGAATTTCATTTTTCTGGCATTCAACCTCAAGTCGTGTTGTAGAGCACCGGAAGTCTTGTTCAACAAACTCTGTCTGACAAGCTAGCTCCGGGCGGTCGCTCGCACTTGATCTTGGTTGTCTCCCAAATGTTGAAGATTTGCTCAAACGTTGACGGTCCAAATCTGAAGTCCAAGAACAGTGACACCCCGAGCAGCATCGGGCATTCACACTTCCTCGCAAGCTTCCGACACATCTCAAGCCCTTCGACTCAACGTTCGGACCAACTGCAAATCGCGCAGACTCTGTTGTCAAGCTCGCAGACCATGTAGTGCAACTTCCGACTGCATGGCAATCACTCTGCCACGGCTGCCCGAACAACTGTTGCGCTTTGCGTCGTCAGGTAGACTCGCATGAGCGAAGTCTCATGTGTCTCCAAGTACTGTGCATACGGTGCATGAAGCATGGACAAGTAAAGCGTGACTCTTCTCACTATGCTGGCTTACCTGATGGGGCAAGGGAAGCCGAAACTTTCTTGGAAAGTCATTCTCTTCCTCTCCAAAAACGTTGGGCTCTACGGCTGTACCAATATCTCTCAGGATGTCACCGAGCCCAACAAACCAGGCAGTCTCCAGCTCTGCAAGTCTGTTGCTTAATAAAGGCCTCTAGGGAAGTGTGTATTCTCTCATGATAAACAAACAAGAACACTCACACAAACACGCGCGAGCAGAAACAAACACATCCACCCCCACACCCCCCCCCCCCCACACCCGCACCTGCGCTCACGTGTCATGCGGAATATGCAGGCGCGCGTAGCACCATCAGACGTAGGCACTTGGCCGTGCACTCGAAATGGCGCTGGCACCACTGGAGGCCCCCTAAGGAGGGACTTCCCCTCTGCCGGGCGAATGTCTGCGCATTCTGCGCTGACTCTACGCCGACACTGCCCCGACACTGCGCCTTCCAGCCGCCGCCGGGGCTCCAGTCGTTGGTACCGATCTTGATCGCCACCTGAAAAAAGTGCTCTTCAGAGCCTGCACAAGTCAATCTGCCGCCAAAGTGGAGCGGGGCAACGCGGGGACACTTTGTGGGACCGCTAGGCCGCTAGGCCCGCCACTCTTCCTCCGATCGTGGCAGCGTACAGGCCATGAGCTGGCACAGATTGGCAGGGTGAGGATGGGTGGGGAAGGCACCCAGCGTCTAACGGAGTCTCTCGAGTCGTCTGCAGGCATCTCTTTCCCGTCTCCTTCCGTCTCTCTGCGATTCTCTGTGAGTGTCTAATCATTGAAATCGCTTCGCCGCCTGCCTGCACAGTGGATGTGCAACTGAGATGTCGAGTGGATGTTGGCATCTCTACGAACCGCACCTGGCGTATGTGCCCCAAAATTAGGCGCAATGGCAATCGCAACGGCAGCTCGCTCTGTTAGATTCTTAGAGATCTGCTGTAGCGATGGACAGTCACGGACAGTCTCTGCCAGTCTCTGCTTTCTGTGCCTCCGAATGTTTGGAACCTCCTCTCAAGAGTTAAGCCTCCCACTACTTACCATCTCGCGTTGCTCTCTCTTTCTTCTCTCTCGCCTCTTCTTCCCTCTCTCTCTCTCTCTCTATCTCTCTCTCTTCTGCTCTTTCGTGTCATCTCCTTCTTGGGCTCTCCTTATCCCCGTCCACAGAGCCCCGAGAGGTAGCCCTTTGCTTTCAGGCTGTCCATATCATTTTGGGGGGTGTTTTGCGTTTTTGCCGCCCACCAGAACCCAGAACCCATCTCACAACGGAATG